TTCGGTTGGGGGGCGGTTGGTTGTGAGTCCCCCTCCCCTGCGCTGCTTCATTCGTGCTGCAACCCTGGACTAGTATGTTTGAGAGGCTCTGAGCTTCATGGCTGTGGGGTGGGGTCTGAGTTCGAATTCTCCCTCCCAGAGGCACCACGAGGGTCATCTAGTGTGACTCCCCTGCAATGCAGGAGACAGAGTCCCCCCCTCCCCCCAAAAAATTCCTGGGTTTCAGTGCAAGCAGTCTTTCCACATACCCTTCTTGTGGCAGTGAGTTCCGTAGGGTAATTACCAGAACAGGCGTGTTTTGCCCGTGCTTTTTGCCCGATGCCCCTGGTGGCAATGTGGAACATTGCGGCGACCAGGAAACCCAGTCTCTGCCCTCGAGGCGCTTACAGTCTTGGGTTTCGGCTGCGAATGAAGGCAGGAAGAGTAGACCATGTGCCAAAAGACTTACGTCCGCAATCTTCACTTCCCTGGGGATAGGAATGCTTTACTCTACACTAGCTAGCGGGGCTGCACTCTGCACATGCTCAGGAACCCCTTGACGTCACCATTCCTGGGTATTTTAGCCACTTCCATCCCAGTGTTGGCGAAGAGAGTACAGAAACAGTTACCAGGTCTGAATACTGTATTTTTCGCTCTGTAGGACGCACCATACCATAAGACGCACCTAGTTTTTGGAGGAGGAAAACAAGAAAAAATATATTCTGAATCTCAGAAGCCAGAACAGCAAGAGGGATCGCTGCGCAGCGAAAGCAGCAATCCCTCTTGCTGTTCTGGCTTCTGGGATAGCTGCGCAGCCTGCATTCACTCCATAAGACGCACAAACATTTCCCCTTACTTTTTAGGAGGGAAAAAGTGAGTCTTATAGAGCAAAAAATATGATATATTTTTTAAACAAACGGGGGGGTTTTTTGCTTGATGCTTTCGGAATCTTGTTTTGTTTACGGCGCTGTTCCTGCAGAAGAGAGCAGCGCTGAGGTCCGTCCCACTTCTTCCGTGTTTAGATGCCTTCTAACCTTTCGAAAATAATAATACTCATTTGCGTGCTAGAGGCGGTTTCAGGTCTGCTTCCTGCAGGTAGTGGCCTGCTAAAGCTCGCGCTGCTCAACTTCCCGGCTATCCGAAACTCAACTTCGCTGCTTTCGCGCCCACTGCCTGCATCTGGCCCCCCTCGGTTCCCACGAGTTTCTCAGAAACTTCGAAGCCGGGGGGTGGGGGGGGTTTGTCGTCTGTTTCTTCTGTGTGTGTAGATGGGGCATGAACAGTTGTGGTGGGGAGGTCTAGGGTGTCTAGAGGATCCCAGCAGGTGCGGGGGGGGGGTGAGTCGATCAGGGTCACGGATGACGCAAGGAGCGGTTTTTTGGGTGTGCTTAGATTTTTATTATGGGATGCGTGTGGCGCTGTGGGTTAAACCCCAGAGCCTAGGACGTGCCGATCAGAAGGTCAGCGGTTCGAATCCCCGCAGCGGGGTGAGCTCCCGTTGCTCGGTCCCTGCTCCTGCCAACCTAGCAGTTCGAAAGCACGTCAAAGTGCAAGTAGATAAATAGGTACCGCTCCGGCGGGAAGGTAAATGGCGTTTCCGTGCGCTGCTCTGGTTTCACCAGAAGCGGCTTAGTCCTGCTGGCCACATGACCTGGAAGCTGTACGCCGGATCCCTTGGCCAGTAAAGCGAGATGAGCGCCGCAACCCCAGAGTCAGCCACGACTGGACCTAATGGTCAGGGGTCCCTTTACCTTTACATGAGAGAGGGGACGCGGGTGGCTCTTTGGGTTAGGCCACAGAGCCTAGGACTTGCCAATCAGACGGTCAGCGGTTCGAATCCCCGCAGCGGGGTGAGCTCCCGTTGCTCGGTCCCTGCTCCTGCCAACCTAGCAGTTTGAAAGCACGTCAAAGTGCAAGTAGATAAATAGGTACCGCTCCGGCAGGAAGGTAAACGGCGTTTCTGTGCGCTGCTCTGGTTCGCCAGAAGCGGCTCAGTCCTGCTGGCCATATGTACGCTGGCCACCTCAGCCAGTAAAGCGAGATGCGCGCCGCAACCCCAGAGTCAGCTGCGACTGGACCTAATTGTCAGGGGTCCCTCTCTGTCTGTGTGCATTGCAAAAATTCCTCTCTGTCTGTGTGCATTGCAAAAAGTTTTCGGAAGCATCGGTTGAAAAGCGAGAAAAGCAGAACGGGAACTGCTCCTAAAACCTCCGTTGCCTTTGCAGGAAGAATAACCTCTCCACAAATCCCTAAAGCAGGGGTCAGCAAACTTTTTTCCAAATCAAATATCCTTTATTAGGCATAGCAAGGCACACATTATCAAACAGACACAGCAAACTTTTTCAGCAGGGGGCCGGTCCACTGTCCCTCAGACCTTGTGGGGGGCCAGACTATATTGGGGGGGGGGGAGGAACGGATTCCTATGCCCCACAAATTACCCAGAGATGCATTTTAAATAAAAGGGCACATTGTACTCGTGTAAAAACACGCTGATTCCCGGACCGTCCACGGGCCGGATTGAGAAGGCGATTGGGCCGCATCCGGCCCCCGGGCCTTAGTTTGCCTACCCATGCCCTAAAGCATTGTTGGAAAGGGAACCTGCAGCTCATCTAGCCCAACCCTACTGCAATGTGGGAACCTTTTGCCCCACGTGGGACTCGAACCCAGAACTCTGGAATTAGAAGCGTCTTGTGGTTTTAAAAACCTGCTTCCCGGCTGCTTTGCAGACACTTATCTTGGTGGCGGCGTGGAAGGGAGGAAAAACCAGATGATTATTCAGTTTGCTTTGCCTTTACCTTCTTAAGTTGGCGAGGACGAAATGTCTGGTTACGTCCTTTTAAAAGACTCCGCCCTAGACTGGCGAACCCCACCTGCTGAAGCAAATATTTACTGCTGTCGCCCCTCCCCTCCCAAGAACCAGGGCTTGTTCTGGGGCTTCCCCACCCAAATCCTGGCAGATCGCACAGGTGTGTCGGGTATTATGGTCTGCCCACGGTGGTGATTGACTACAATGAGGTGGAAAATGGGCGGCGGGGCCTGTGTTTTGAGAAACCCGGCCCTCCTATCTCCTGGCTTTCTCCACCACCCCAATGGAGCGTCAGCCCCCGGCAGGCAGAAATCCGTCGGGTGCAGCTGCTCCCAAACTCGAAATGACGGGCGGCAGAGCTGCGCCTGTTGAATGGGCTGCCTGCCACAGGACCCAGTCTTTGAACTGTGAGTGATGCGGTTTTGGCGTAAGGACTGTGCTCTCATCCTCCGCTGAAAACCTGGGCAAAGGGGAAACTGTCCCTAGGTTGCTGTGTTTGTAAGGACTGGAGGAGGCATAATTTTAATTTTAATTTTATTTGTATCCCACCATCCCTGGCCAAGGCCAGGCTCAGAGCGGCTAACATCATAAAAACAACACAATATGCATAAAAACAGACCCCAATTACCGTATTTTTTGCTCTGTAAGACTCACTTTTTCCCTCCTAAAAAGTAAGGGGAAATGTGTGTGCGTCTCATGGAGCGAATGCAGGCTGCGCAGCTATCCCAGAAGCCAGAACAGCAAGAGGGATCGCTGCTTTCACTGTGCAGCGATCCCTCTTGCTGTTCTGGCTTCTGAGATTCAGAATATTTTTTTTCTTGTTTTCCTCCTCCAAAAACTAGGTGCGTCTTGTGGTCTGGTGCGTCTTATAGAGCGAAAAATACAGTAATTTAAAAAGTAGGACTGGAGCTGTGAGCTGCCTCTGAAACCAGGCTTTTCCAGGTAGCTGCTCACCTATGGCGAGTCGGAATGTCTCCAGGCGACTCTATGCGGAAGTGGGTTTTTAAAAAAAAAATCCTCCCCTTTGTCTCTCTCACTCCCAGCTCTGCATAAATGTCCAGCTTCTGCGAGGTGTGGTTGTGTAGTGTGTGGAGGGTGAGAGAGAGAGCAGGGAACCAGCAAATACAGACTCTGAATACTGAACCTGTTTCCGTTTTGAGGTTTGCAGCCCTGAGGTCTAGCAACTTGATTTTCACTTGCGACCCAAGTAAATTTGTTATCGTGCGCTGCTCTGGGACTGAACGTGAGGAGCATATCGAAATGTTTCCGTTTCCCAGGACGTTTCCGAGCACAATTCAAAGGGTTGGTGCTGACCTCGAAAGCCCTAAATGGCCCAGTATACCTGAAGGAGCATCTCCACCCGCATCGTTCTGCCCGGACACGGAGGTCCAGCTCTGAGGGCCTTCTGGCGGTTCCCTCCCTGCGAGAAGCCAAGTTACAGGGAACCAGGCAGAGGGCCTTCTCGGTGGTGGCGCCCGCCCTGTGGAACGCCCTCCCGTCAGATGTCAAAGAGAACAACAACTACCAAACTTTTAGAAGACATCTGAAGGCAGCCCTGTTTAGGGAAGCTTTTAACGTTTAATAGGTTATTGTATTTTAGTGTTTTGTTGGAAGCCGCCCAGAGTGACTGGGGTATAAATAATAAATTATTATTATTACAGTGGTACCTCGGGTTAAGTACTTAATTCGTTCCGGAAGTCCGTTCTTAACCTGAAACTGTTCTTCACCTGAAGCACCACTTTAGCTAATGGGGACTCCCACTGCCGCCACGCTGCCGGAGCACGATTTCTGTTCTCATCCTGAAGCAAAGTTCTTAACCTGAAGCACTATTTCTGGGTTAGCGGAGTCTGTAACCTGAAGCGTATGTAACCCGAGGTACCACTGTACCAAACCTTTAGAAGACATCTGAAGGCATCCCTGTTTAGGGAAGGTTTTCGTGTTTAATAGGCTATTGTATTTTAGTGTTCTGTTGGAAGCCGCCCAGAGTGGCTGGGGAAACCCAGCCAGATGGGCGGGGTATAAATAAATTATTATTATTATTATTATTATTATTATTATTATTATTATTATTATTTATTCAATGCAGCGCTTGTGGGTTTTTTCCTCCCCTTTCTGTGAATTCAGAGATGTGAAAATGAATCTGGTTTGTTTTGATTTTGATACCTCCCTCGTTTCCGCCTCCGCCTCTCACTTCCTCCTCTTCTTCCCTCCCCAGGTAAACGACTTCCTGTCTGGAAGATCTCCTCTCACCTTGGCCCTTCGCGTCGGGGACCATATGATGTTCGTGCAGCTGCAACTGGCGGCCCAGCAGAACGGCGGACAGCTGCAGCACCGCCACCTCATCGCCAGCCGCGGCGAGCCCCCGGCCGCTGCGCCCCCGGCCGGCTCTGACTGCCCCGCTCTCCACGGGGGCGCCCACGCCCCCCACTTCGCCCGGGTCCCCGCCCCGCCCGCTTGCCAGGAAAGCCCCGCCTCCCCGTCGCAGGCCCCGCCCACGTACTGTAGCTCCGCCCACCCGACGCCCGTCACCGCCGGTATGTTCCGCTCGCATGGGGCCCAAGCGAGCGGCGGCGCAGGGAGCGCTTCGTCGTGTTCGGAGGTGAGTCGTTGTCTCGTCCGCAGCTAGTCCAACCCAGTAGGATATTCGAACCCAGAACCTGAGCCTCATGTCTGAGCTATTGCAATGGGGGGTTGTTTTGGGGAAAATAAGGTTCTCACGGTCAGGGGTCTTATCGTCCATTGCCACAGGAAGAAATGCCGTATTTTTCGCTGTATAAGACGCACCAGACCACAAGACGCACCTAGTTTTTGGAGGAGGAAAACAAGAAGAAAAATATTCTGAATCTCAGAAGCCAGAACAGCAAGAGGGATCGCTGCGCAGCGAAAGCAGCAATCCCTCTTGCTGTTCTGGCTTCTGGGATAGCTGCGCAGCCTGCATTCGCTCCGTAAGACGCACACACATTTCCCCTGCCATCAAGCTGTCACCATTTAGGGCCAGAAATCTGCCGCATGCCAAGCCAGAGCGTTGGTCCATCTCATTCAATATTCTCTGCACGGACTGGCAGCAGCTCTCAGGGGGGTTTAGATGGAAGGCAGTTCCCAGATCTCCCTAGAGACTGAATTTGCATTGAGACCAAATGCTCTCCCATTGAACCCACAGCTTCTTTTGCCCTGGCACCAGAAAACCGCAATTTTGGCCTTAATTCAAATTAGACTTTCTTGGGGGGGGGCGTTTTAAGAAAAAGCCTTTTCTGAATATGGTTTGAGGCAGGAATTCGCATCTCTATCCAGGAGGTTTCTAAGCAGAAGTTGGGCGGACATTTGTCAGGAATTCGTTGCCTGTGATTTCGGGGTTGGACTAGATGACCGCGGGGTTCCCTTCCAAATCTTCACACAGACTTCAATTTTTCCCCCTGCCCTCCTTTCACAGGTCGATTGCGCCACGCGGAGCAAACCTTCGCCCAGTGCCAGCCCCGTGCAGCCTTCCCGACCCCGCAAACCCGGCGCTGTGATCGAAAGCTTCGTGAACCACGCTCCGGGTGTCTTTTCGGGGACGTTTTCTGGTAAGTCTTGGTTGGCCCTTAACTCATCTTCCTCCAACCCCTCCGCCTTTTGTGGGAATAAAATACGGCTTCGTGTTGTGGGTTTGCAAGCTTCGGAACATCACAGGGCGCTTTTGCAGGCTGAAGAAGAGCCCTGTGGAGCCCTGAAGCTGGCGCAGGTCCATGTGCCGTCTTTGCAATCGAAAATGGACCCAAATGAACTATGGGAGCCAACTGATGGTTTTTTGAACGAAGCAGGTCTGAACCTGATCTGTGCCGGATTCCGACAAGAGAAACCCAATTGAATTTTGCAGCTCAGCATTTCTAAAAAATTGTATCTGTTTGCCTGGAGCCTTCGTTTTACACCTTTAGGCGCCAGGAAAAACGTTCCCTTTTAACCAGGCCTTTGGTTGAGCTGATTTAGATCCTATGCCCTTCCAAAATGTGTTTTTTTTTCCAGTGGGAATGGGGGTCTATTGGGTTTTTTGTTTTTAGTAGTTATTTTGTGGTTTTATATCTTGATTTTATTAACTGCCCTGAGACCCCTGGGTAAAGGGCGGTACATAAATTCAATTTATTATTATTATTATTATTATTATTATTATTATTATTATTATTATTAAATGGGCTTGTTGGTTGTGGTTTGGGAAATCTGTGGCACCCCAGCCCCTTCAAAAGATGTTGCAGGACTCTGATAATATCCACTAGTGGTTAGGGATAAATTGGGGTTCTATTCTAGACTTATTCAACTTTTGGTCCCACAAATGTTGTTGGCTAAATCTCCCATCATGTCTAACCACTGCTTGGGGGTTGTGGGGTTTGTAGTTTGGAGAGCCAGGGTTGGAATACTCTCTTGTCGTCCGGCAACATTGAAGAGGGGGTTTTTAATCAGAGGTTGGGCCGGCCACCCACCAGGAAGTATCGTATTTTTCGCTCTATAAGACGCACCAGACCACAAGACGCACCTAGTTTTCGGAGGAGGAAAACAAGAAAAAAATATATTCTGAATCTCAGAAGCCAGAACAGCAAGAGGGATCGCTGTGCAGCGAAAGCAGCGATCCCTCTTGCTGTTCTGGCTTCTGGGATAGCTGCGCAGCCTGCATGCGCTCCATAAGACGCACACACATTTCCCCCTTCCTTTTTAGGAGGGAAAAAGTGAGTCTTACAGAGCAAAAAATACGGTATTTCACTGGGATTCCCAATTTTCAGGGGGTTGGACTCGATTCTGTTGATTCGAAGAGGTACCCCAGCCAAGCTGCTTTTTAAAAAAGCAAAGAGAATACTGGAGAGTTTGCTCCCTGGCCCAGATTCTTGCCATTTCCTCTTCTCATGTGGACTAGAAACCTGCCCTTCAAAAGCGTTAACATTCACCCTAAGCAAGCGCAGGAAAGGACAAGTTCACAAGACTCTTTTCTGACAGTCTCCCTCTGGAGGCTTTTTGGGAAGTTGAGATCCCTGCGTTCCAGGGGTTGGGCTGGATGACCTTTGGGGTGTCTCTGCCCACTCTAAAATTCCAAATTTTCCCTCCGCACCTGACCACAAACACAAATTCTGGGGGAGGGGGAGGAAAAACTAGCCAAGCAACTTCATGCGTTTAGATTGCGAATCGATAAACCTTGAGGACCAGCGACTTGACCTTGCTTCTCCCTCGCAGGCACTTTGCACCCGAATTGCCAGGACAGCAGCGGGCGGCCCCGGCGGGACATCGGCACCATCTTGCAGATCCTCAACGACCTGTTGAGCGCCACGCGGCACTACCAGGGCATGCCCCAGTCCCTGACGCAGCTGCGGTGCCAAACACAGTGCTCGCTTTCCTCGACTTCTTCGTCGCCGCCCCAATCCCCGGATCTCGCCAGCAACACTACCTCAGAGAAAATCGCAGCAGCTGCTAGCCAGTCCTTACACTTGGGGGCCAGCCAAGTGGCAGCGTCTAAGCCTTCCGGTGAGTCCTGCCTCTGAAAAAGAGTCCAGAATGTGGCTCGGGTCATGAGGTCTAGTAACTTGCATTGCTGTTGGTCTGTAAGGAAGCTGCCGCTTTCTGCATGCAAAGGGCCTGAGTTCGAAAGCCGGTCTCTCCGGGTAGTAGGGCTCTGTCTGAAACCCCTGCCGGCCAGCGCTGTGCTAGATCGAGCGATGCACAGAATAAGCCCAAGTCCCAAATTTGGAACAGTGAGGGCTAGTGTCTTGACTTTCGTGACTCCGCAAGGGGGCAGCGTTGTACGTGGATATATTTAGGCAGCGGCGTAGCCCCAAGAAGCTTTCCTCGCACAAGGTCCCGGCTTCGGTTCGCCCCTGGAGTGCTGGTGCCGTTCAGTGCAGGTTATATTGAATTAGATGGGCGCGATATCGGGCGTGTTCCTTTTTGCTCCTTTTCCCCATTCCTCCCTTCTTAAAAGGGGACGCAGGTGGTGCTGTGGGTTAAACCACAGAGCCTTGGACTTGCCGATCGGGAGGTCGGCGGTTCGAATCCCCGCAATGACGGGGTGAGCTCCCGTTGCTCGGTCCCTGCTCCTGCCACCTAGCAGTTCGAAAGCACGTCAAAGTGCAAGTAGATAAATAGGTATCACTCCGGCGGGAAGGTAAACGGCGTTTCCATGCACTGCTCTGGATCGCCAGAAGTGGCTTAGTCATGCTGGCCACATGACCCGGAAGCTGCACGCCGGCTCCCTCGGCCAATAAAGCAAGATGAGCGCCGCAACCCCAGAGTCGGTCACGACTGGACCTGATGGTTAGGGGTCCCTTTACCTTAATCCCCCAAGCTATTTTGTTTGTGGGTTTGGGGTGTTTTATCACCAGTGTGATAAAAGGGACGCGGGTGGCGCTGTGGGTTAAACCACAGAGTCTAGGACTTGCCGATCAGAAGGTTGGCAGTTCGAATGCCCGCGACGGGGTGAGCTCCCGTTGCTCGGTCCCTGCTCCTGCCAACCTAGCAGTTTGAAAGCACGTGCAAGTAGATAAATAGGTACCTCTCCGGCGGGAAGGTAAACGGCGTTTCCGTGCGCTGCTCTGCTTCGCCAGAAGTGGCTTAGTCCTGCTGGCCACATGACCCGGAAGCTGTACACTAGCTCCCTCGGCCAATAAAGCGAGATGAGCGCCGCAACCCCAGAGTCGGCCACGACTGGACCTAATGGTCAGGGGTCCCTTTTACCTTTTACTCTTCTTAAAAAAGGGAGATGCAGGCTTGAAGGGACTCTTAACGTCTGCGTGCAAATGGGGCACAGCAAAAGGAGAGGACTTGATATTTTATTTTATTTACTCTCCCCCCTTTCCCCCCACAAGTGATAAGTTATCCGTGCTGAGCACGGTGGGGTGTTTTGTGTTACATGCAGAAACTGTCCCTGCGGAGCGAGTCTGGGCAGTGGGGAGAGAGAGAGCAAGGAAGAGAAAGATGTACTCTTGATTTTCTGTTTGGCTCAGATATTCTCGGTCAGGGTGACCCTGTCTGCTGCCAAGGGATGAAGCAAACCGCTTCTGTCTGGATACTAATAGGTGACATTAATTCCTTTTGCAAACCCTTCCAGTTTTAGCCTCTTCCGTTCAGTTTCCGTGGGTGCGGTTTGCATACTCTCTTGCCTAAAATCCCCCCAAAAATGGCTTTTTCTTGTGCATGCTTTGAATGGGCCACTTTGCATTCACGACCTGTTCTTCCCAGTTTGGATCTGCTAAATTGGGGGGTTCCCTTTCCTCTGGCAAAAGCGAGAATCTCCATTTGCGCTTCTGTTCAGTTATGTGCCCTCTTTGCTCCCAAGGTCTCTGCCCCCAGGCGCTTACAGATTAAAGCTGATTTAGACCACTCCAGAGGTTTTGAGCAGCCTCCCCGCTTTCCCCCTTCCTCCGTTCGCTGATGGGAACTGTAGTTCGAAGCGTTCAGAGGGCGCCGGGCTATGGGATTCTGGGGGAAAGTACGTGAATGGCTTTTGAGCAATCCTATCCTCCTTATCTAATGCGGGTGGCGCTGTGGGTTAAACCACAGAGCCTAAGACTTGACGATCAGAAGGTCGGCGGTTCGAATCCCCGCAATGACGGGGTGAGCTCCCGTTGCTCGGTCCCTGCTCCTGCCCACCTAGCAGTTCGAAAGCACGTCAAAGTGCAAGTAGATAAATAGGTACCGCTCTGGCGGGAAGGTAAACGGCGTTTCCGTGCGCTGCTCTGGTTCGCCAGATGAGTGCCTCAACGCCGGAGTCGGTCACGACTGGACCTAATGGTCAGGGGGTCCTTTTTATCCTACTTATCTAAGTCCCATTGGACTGAATGAGTTATTTTGCAGCCGAGAAACACATAGGGAATGCCCTGTGAGCTCATAGTTTCATTTGGGGGAGTCATAGCATTGTACAGTTGGAAAGGGACCCCCAAAGTCATCTAGTCCAACCCCCTGAAATGGAGGAACCTGTCTTGCCCGACGTGGGTTTCAAACCCACGACCTGGAGATTAAAAATCCCATGCCACCCCAAATCCAATTTAAGGATTAAACTTGGCCAAATGTTGCACAAGGACCCCGTAGAACAGGCACCCCCAAACTCAGCCCTCCAGATGTTTTTGGGACTACAACACCCATCATCCATAGCTAACAGGTCAGGGATGATGGGAATTGTAGTCCCAAAAAATCTGGAGGGGCGAGTTTGGGGTGCTGGCAGTAGAAGAACATCTGGATTTGTTCTCCAGAGGTGCTGGGATCCCACAACAAAAGTGGCGTTTACACGGTCCTTCCCTGTCACTCATTCAATCCCGCACAACAACCCAGTCCTATGAGCTTCATGGGCAAATAGGGCGCGATTCGAACCCCAGTCTCTGCCAGCTTCCAGTCCGCTGGACCACTGTTGCTGCGACGACCTGTGGAACTCCTTGCCGCAGGAGAGCCATTGAAATTGACATCCTGGTCCTTCCGGTGGGTCTTCTCTTGAGTAAAACCCACTTGGCCCACCCTCCTTTTGTGTGCTGTCGATTTTATCCTCGGTTGGTAGAGCACGAGGCTCTCTTCGTCTCAGGGTTGCGGGTTCAAGTTCCGCCTTGGGCAAACGTCTCCTGCGTCGCTAGCGGGTTGGTCTGGATAACCTTCAGGGTTCCCACGCGCAATGGCACCTTTCCTCTTACCCGTGTTGTTTTGCGAGTCCCGTGGGGCCGAGTTAGTAGATTAACGAAATTGGGGGGGGCGATAGCTCCCTCTATCTTTTTTCTCTCTCTCTCTTTTTCTCTCTCTTCCTACTTTCACGCCTCTTCCTCTCCGCACCCCCGCAGGCTGTGTGTGGCAAAGCCCCCCCCCCCCGTCCCCAAAATAGCAAGGCGAGTTGGCGGGGGCGCAGCAGAAAAACCGACGCGGTTCCTGCATTTCTTTCTCCTCCTCGGCGGCCCACTCCCCCCCCCCCTCGCCGCCACCCTCTCTCTGTGGCACAAACGGAAAATTGGAGGCTCCTCTCTCGCCTCTTCTGCGGGAAAGAGGTTGACAGTTCTATGTCTGTCAGCCAAGTTCTGGCAAGGCTGCTTTCCAGGCTGGGAGGACAAGGGCGGCTCTGCCTCCCCCCCGAAAAAAATCTGGCCATAACCTCCGAATTCCCTTCCCTGCCTCTCTCTGTGTCTCCACCACATTTGGGTTATTTAAACAAAAAAAACCTATTGGGTTTGCAATTTTCCTTGCTGCGAGAATTGCGGGTGGGAGACGAGTGTGGGGTTTTTTCCTTCTCTCTCTCTCTCTCTCTCTCTCATCTGCCCTGCTCCCCTCCTGGACTTTTGGACCAGGCTGTTCAGGATTTGAACCCGCTTCCTCTTGGGTTGACCTTCACCCAGCCAGGCTACAAAACAACAACAAACTGCGCTGTGTTGTTGTGCGGGAACGAAAGTGAACGCAGATAAACCTCTGCCGTAAGCGGTAGCTGCGAGGCTGTTCTTGCTGCCCTCAAGTCCTTAGTCCTCATTGAGGCCGGAGATGGCTCCAGGCTTAGAGACTCTGTACAAAAACACAAATTTTGCAAGAATCACTTTTCCCCTAGGGGACCTCTGACAGCCACCCCACACGCTCCATAAACCTTGTGCTTTCCTCCTCCTCCTCCTTCCCCTCTTCGCACGCTGCCCTATATCCGTCGCACAACACCCACCCACCCCAATCTGCCCCCCCTACAAAAAGACTGGCACCTGGCGATGTGCGGCGTGTCTGTAGTTTTTTACGCTTGTGCATGAATCGTGAGTTCTGTGCATAGTTCGGATTCCACCTTCCGAACCTGTTCCTTGCTTGCTAGCCGGCCCCGCTCCGCTACCTATCTCCAGAGTAATTTTCTCATCCTCTCCCCCAATCCAGCCACTTTCCTTTCTGTTTCTTTGGGTGGGGGGAGTTGGGTGGAAACTGGGTTTTTTGGGGGGGTGGCGTGGCTGTCAGAACGTGCCGAAGTGTGTCAAGCATGGCTTTGCACCCAATTTCTGTGCACGCACCTGCAGGTTGGCGGTTGCGTTCGTCAAGGGGGCGAGGGAGGGAGGGAGCCCCCTTCTCCGTTTCCTAGATTCGCTTTTATTTTTTCCTCCTCGCTGCTTGAAAACCGGTCGCCTTCCTTACTTGCCCCCGTTTCTGAACCATAAAAGGTTTTGACGGCTGGTGTGTTGTTAGCCTTGGGGGGGGCTGCGTTGTGGGGCGCAGGCCGCCACTTCCTGACCAAAAACACGGAAGGAAGTGGGGCGACAAAAGAGCAGCCGTGCAGGGGGTTTTTTTGGGGGGGGGCGTCCCATTTAAATGGGAAACCTTGGCTAGTTTGCAGATGGTTTTTGTCCCGGAGAGATCACCCTGATGAAAACATTTTTGCATGTTCTCTAGTAAGGTAAAAGTAAAGGGACCCCTGACCATTAGGTCCAGTCGTGGCCGACTCTGGGGTTGCGGCGCTCATCTCGCTTTATTGGCCGAGGGAGCCGGCGTCCAGCTTCCGGGTCATGTGGCCAGCAGGACTAAGCCGCTTCTGGCGAACCAGAGCAGCGCACGGAAACGCCGTTTACCTTCCCGCCGGAGCGCTACCTATTTATCTACTTGCACTTTGAGGTGCTTTCAAACTGCTAGGTGGGCAGGAGCAGGGACCGAGCAATGGGAGCTCACGCTGTCATTGCGGGGATTCGAACCGCCGACCTTCTGATCAGCAAGTCCTAGGCTCTGTGGTTCGACCCACAGCGCCACCCACATCCCTTGCCAGGTTGATATGCAACAGATAAAAACGCCGAATAGCGATCGTCCCTTGATTTAATTCGAATAGCGATCGTCCCTTGATTTAATTCTAATTAAAAAAACCAAAAATTGCAGGGAGAGTCGAGGCCGACTTGAAACCCCGTGGATTTTTGAATGTTGTTGTCGTTTAGTCGTGTCCGCCTCTTCGTGACCCCCTGGACCAGAGCATGCCAGGACCTCCTGTCTTCCACTGCCTCCCGCAGTTTGGTCAAACTCATGCTGGTAGCTTCGAGAACACTGTCCCACCATCTCATCCTCCGTCGTCCCCTTCTCCTTGCGCCCTCCATCTTTCCCAGCATCAGGGTCTTTTCCAGGGAGTCTTCTCTTCTCATGAGGTGGCCAAAGTCTTGGAGCCTCAGCTTCAGGATCTGTCCTTCCAGTGAGCACTCAGGGCTGATTTCCTTCCAAATGGAGAGGTTGGATCTTCTTGCAGTCCATGGGACTCTCAAGAGTCTCCTCCAGGGATTGTTGACTAGACGTCCCCAATTATGAAACTACTTTGTTGGGGGGGGGTATGTCTTGCCGTCCTCATCCTGTCCACAGAGTCAGTCTCTCTCCCTCTCTCTCATCCGGAGGCGTTAGTGCAGTCGTGGTCTCCTCGGATGAATTCCTCTAGAATAAATACCGCCCCCAGATTATGTCCTGCCTGTCACCAGCATGGCGCATAGCTTCCGCCTCCTGCTTCCCTTTCGCTCTCATTAGTGCGCATCGCTCAATCTTTTCTTCTCCTTTGGTCTCTTCCCCCACGTAATTTGACGCGGGGGGAAACTGAGGCACGGGGTGCGATCAGGGGCTCGGCTATCCATCGGCTTTTGCCTTCCTGGTTCTGCAGAGGGGAGGCTGTTTTGAATACTTTAAGGGGGGGGCAGAGAGAGAGAGAGAATGTCGGACCCTCCTGGCAAAGGTGGGCGGGATTCGAATCCTGGACTCTCCCGGCTCCTAATCCGGGTCTCTTAGGCGCCTTGACTTGGGTGGATAGCTGAGCGGGTTTGAGTGTGTGCTGAAAACAAGAAGGTTGCAGGTTCATAGAATCATAGAATCATAGAGTTGGAAGAGACCACAAGGGCCATCGAGTCCAACCCCCTGCCAAGCAGGAAACACCATCAGAGCACTCCTGACATATGGTTGTCAAGCCTCTGCTTAAAGACCTCCAAAGAAGGAGACAGTACTCCAGGTGAGGTCTGACCAGAGCAGAATACAGTGGCACTATTACTTCCCTTGATCTAGATGCTATACTCCTATTGATGAGGCCCAGAATTGCATTGGCTTTTTTAGCTGCCGCGTCACACTGTTGGCTCATGTCAAGTTTGTGGTCAACCAAGACTCCTAGATCCTTTTCACATGTACTGCTCTCAAGCCAGGTGTCACCCATCTTGTATTTGTGCCTCTCATTTTTTTTGCCCAAGTGCAATACTTTACATTTCTCCCTGTTAAAATTCATCTTGTTTGTTTTGGCCCAGTTCTCTAATCTGTCAAGGTCGTTTTGAAGTGTGATCCTGTCCTCTGGGGTGTTAGCCACCCCTCCCAGTTTGGTGTCATCTGCAAATTTGATCAGGATGCCCTTGAGTCCATCATCCAAGCCGTTGATAAAGATGTTGAATAAGACCGGGCCCAAGACAGAACCGATATGCGCTGAATATTCCTGCATTGCAGTGGGGTTGTAATAATAATAATAATAATAATTATTATTATTAATAATAATAGATGACTCTCGGGGGCCCTCTACAGTGCTTTTTTCCTTTTTAAAAAATACATTCTCTCATTTTGACTCAAGAAAATCACCATTTTGCAGAATATATATACAGTAAATGGAGAAAACTACAAAAGATTCACAAAACGTTTAGGGTTATGCGTACCCCTGCGTCTGTGTGTGTGTGTCCCCCAGAAAAAAACACTGCCCCCCTTGGACCTGAGGATTTTAAAAGGCTGCAAACAGCCGGGGGCGGGGGGCGGGCAGCAACCATTTGCACGTGGGGGAAAAAAACCCTTGCGTTCCTCAGACGAAAAGCGAGATATAAATGTAATGAAGACGTCTCCGCGGTCAGGTTTCTGCAAGGCTCCCTTTTCATTTCGCTTCTCACGCCCGCCCCCCCCAGTTCACCATTTTCTGGCGCCTCCATTTCTCCCCCCCCCCCCCCCCCGGCTCTTGCAAAAAAAAAACACCGCTCAATTGTTCTCCCGCCCACGGGCTGCTATTGCAAAGCCGCGGAAAGGGGGGGGTGTTAGATAGAGAAAAAGGCACCAATGTTGACGGCAGAGAGTGGGAGGCACGGAGTCAGGGGTGACTTCTTGTTCTCTCCTCTGAGACGGGAAGTGTTCGAAACCCTCCGGGGGGGGCAGGTGGGGGGGCGAGAGAGCTAGAATGAGAAGAAAGAGAGAGAAAATGTGTGTGTTTTTTTTAAAGAAGTGTGCAAGAGAGCCATTGTTTTTTCTGATGCTCCTTGGGCTTCCTGTCTCTGTTGCCATGGAGACGAGGTCCTGGTTCTCCACAGATGCTTCCCCCGTGCTGAGGTGACGGAAAGTCCTCCATTTCGAGGCTGGCGCACACCCGGCGCGCCTGCGTTGTTGCTCTCCCCACATGCACACACACACACACACCCAGGGCATCGGGGTGTTGAATGCCCTTGTTTTATTTTTATTTCCTCCAATCTTGGTGGGAAAGGAGAAGTGTTCTTGGCGGAGCTGCAAGCCATTCTGCTTTATTTATTAAATTTGTAGGCTCCCCTCCCATCAAAGCATCCCGGGGCGGTGTGCAGTATAATAATAATAATAATAATAATAATAATAATAATAATAATAATGGGTAAAGGTAAAGGGACCCCTGACCATTAGGTCCAGTCGTGGCCGACTCTGGGGTTGCGGCGCTCATCTCGCTTTACTGGCCGAGGGAGCCGGCGTACAGCTTCCGGGTCATGTGGCCAGCAGGACTAAGCCGCTTCTGGCGAACCAGAGCAGCGCACGGAAACGCCGTTTCCCTTCCCGCCGGAGCGGTACCTATTTATCTACTTGCACTGGTGTGCTTTCGAACTGCTAGGTTGGCAGGAGCAGGGACCGAGGAACGGGAGCTCACCCCGTCATTGCGGGGATTTGAACTGCCAACCTCCTGATCGGCAAGTCCTAGGCTCTGTGGTTTAACCTACAGCACCACCTGCGTCCCAAATAATAATAATAATAATAATTTATTATTTATACCCCGCCCATCTGGCTGAGTTTCCCCAGCCACTCTGGGCGGCCTCCAATCAAGTGTTAAAAACAATACAGCATTAAATATTAAAAATCTCCTAAACAGGGCTGCCTTCAGATGTCTTCTAAAAGTCAGATAGTTGTTTATTTCCTTGACATCTGACGCAAGGGCATTCCACAGGGCGGGCGCCGCCACCAAGAAGGCCCTCTGCCTGGTTCCCTGTAAACTCGCTTATTGCAGGGAGGGAACCGCCAGAAGGCCCTCGGAGCTGGACCTCAGTGTCTGGGCTGGACGAAGGGTGTGGAGATGCTCCTTCAGGGATACTGGGCCGTTTAGGGCTTTCAAGGTCAGCACCAACACTTTGAATTGTGCTCGGAAACATCCCTGGAGCCAATGCAGATTTCTCAGGACCGGTGTTATGTGGTCCCGGCGGCCCCTCCCAGTCCCCAGTCTAGCTGCCGCATTCTGGATTAGTTGCAGTTTCCGGGTCACCTTCTAAGGTAGCCCCACATAGAGCGCATGGCAGTAGTCCAGGCGGGAGATAACCAGAGCATGCACCACTCTGGCCAGACAGTCTGTGGGCAGGGAGGGTCTCATCCTGCGTCCCAGATGGAGCTGCCCTGGACACAGAATTGACCTGCGCCTCCATGGACAGCTGTGATTCCAAAATGACCCCCAGGCTGCTCACCTGGTCCTTCAGGGGCGCAGCTACCCCATTCAGGACCCTGTCCCCCAAAAAACAGTGTTTCTATCTCTGGGGTCCCCTGATCACTGAGACCAGCAGGATTCTGGGACCGCAGATAAAAGAAGCTGGTAGACGCGGAAATAAGTGTTGTTAGTTTCTTTTTGCATGGATTTTTCCAAATTTCCCCCGTTTCTGATGCCTCGTTTAACGTCTCTGTGTTTTCCCCCTCCCAGGCGACCGGTTGCGGCAGACGGAGAACCGCGCCACCCGCTGCAAAGTGGAACGCCTGCAGCTTCTGATGCAGCAGAAGCGGTTGCGCCGAAAAGCTCGCCGCGATGCCCGCGCCCCGTACCACTGGCTCCCCAACCGCAAGTCCAGTCGCACAAACAGCAACAGTAGCATGTCGAGCGAAGGGAGCCTTGACCTCGACTTCGAAGACTCTGTGTGGAAACCGGAAGTCAAAGCGGACATGAAATCCGAATTTGTTGTAGCATAAAAGGAAAAACAAAAAACCAAGACCGCAGGGAGGGGAGGACGAAGAGACCGAAGTTTTTTTGGGGGGGTGGGAGGGGGTGTCGAACGGGAATCCGGAGGTGGGGAGAAAAGACCATTTAGTAATAATTAATAATACGGTTTTTGGGTCCGTGCGAGCAAAGTCCTTGGGTGCTTTGATCCTTTTAGAAAAAAAGATACACACACACACGAAAAAACAACACTTATTGGATCGCGGCGGACGGACCAGCCCTACGGAAATCTCCATAGGCAGATTGGAACAGTATTTTCTATTCTTTTCGAAGCTCTTCTTTTTTTGTTTTGAGAACTGAAGCGGCTTGGGACGGAGCGAGAAAGAGACTTTGCTTCCCAAAAGTGGACTTGAAAGGAACTTTTTATTTTTTAAAAATTCGGTTTTCTCTCTCTCTCGGGTGTGTATGTGTGTGTTTTCCCCCTCGTTTTCATTTCGCGGTTCTTTTTTTTTATGAAAAGGATGAGGATCCTTCGAAGAGCTAGCTGCCTTAGACCCACGAGTGGAAGAGAAGACTGACCCCAACCAGGGAGGAGGAAAAAAAGAAAAAACAGTGAAGGGAGCTGGACTTTGAGATGTGCGGAAACCCCGGAGGACTTTACAAACCTCTTGGTTTTCCTGGTTTCGTTAATTTCGGGGAAAGTTGGGGGGGGGAGAGGACGAACCCTTGTTTTTGGGTATGTGTCGAATGCTCCTCGCTTGCCTATGGAATTGGTTGTACCTGCCGAAAAATTGGAGACTGTTTCGTTCCTTAAAAAAACAAACAAATACTGAAAGCTTCCCCCTTTTTTATTTTAAAGTTCATCTCTCTTCTGAATGGATTTGGTGGTTTCTGTGTTAACGGGGAGAGCTGTGCATTTGTCAGGAGGAGAGGAGGGGAGGGCCCAGATTCTGGATTTTTTTTGGGGGGGGAGGGTTGGTTATTATTATTTTTTTAAGAGGATGTGTGCATGTACGTGTGTCTCTTGTCTCTCTTCCTCTCCCCCCCTGTCCCGCATCCTTAAATAATATAGCATTTCGGACCCCCCCCCAAAGCGTTTGTCCTCCCCCCCCCCCAACCATCCAGTCTGCATTTCCAGAAACCTCCCGTGCACTTTAGAGGTGTGAATTGTGAAGTGGTAGAAGCCTGGGGTATTTTTTCATATTATTTTTTAAAAACATGATCGGGGCAGGGAGAACGCCCGTCTTGACCTCATCCTGGCTTCCTTTTCCCCTCTTGAGAGTTTCCTGTTTTGTATTTTTTTGCATTTTTTTTTTAATTGCGTGCATTAAAAATTAGAGGCCGCTGGGCGTTTTCTTTCCATTCCTTTATCGATGGAAGATAAGTGTGAAAGGCGAGAGATCTCTCCCTAGACCCAACCCTCTGGGGGGGGGTCAGAGGAACCTCAGAACCGTTGGTCAGTGTCGTCCAAAGCCCCTTCCTCGCCAGCGGCTTTCCATTTACACTCAAAACACTCCGCCACCATCCTCTATAGCTCCTTCTCGTGGTACTGTCATCTCCGGTGACTTCCAACGCTCTGGGCTGCCGACCCAATTCCTTCCCCATTTGAAGATGTGCCCGGGATATTAGCTTGGCAGCACCCAGAACTATAATCCGGAATAACCCCCGGAACAATAATTCGGAATATCCGCTTTCCACCATGCGGCAGAAGCGCCGCCTCCCTCCGTAGACAGAACCGCGGTTCCGCACACATCCGAGCGGAAATCGAAAACATAACCTCCCTGTTGTAGAGACCAATATTATTATTATTTTTTCAGGATCTCCTCCCCCTAAAATCAGATTCTTCTCTGTGTGTGTGTTTGTGTGTGCGTGCGCGCTTTTCGAAATAAAGATTTAGTGACATAAAATAGTATCTAGTGATGCTTATTTAGATACTTGGGGTTTTTTAAAAAAAAAGAAAGAAAAATATTATTTATAGACTTAACAATGATCTGAGCCAGTAATTTTTTCATAGGCTGTAGTGTGTGTGTGTTTTGGTTCCCCCCCTCCTTTTTTGAGCAAATCTAGCAACCACAGTGTGTGTGTGAGAGAGAGAGAGAAAGAGAGAGAATGTCAGCAATAGGAACTTAATATAAATTGGGGTGGAGGATGAGAATACACTTCGGATAACTTCAGATTTAGGCCTTAAAAGTTTCCAGCAATGTGGATGTAAAATAAAGGCTTGCATCTGCAAACCCTGATCTGTGTCCTGCCCCATACGCCTTGAGTACGGCCCATTGCGATGCACGGAAACGGCTGCCGTTGTTGCTCCAGTAATTTCAGGGGGACTGTAGACTTTGCGGGGGTTCGCCTCCGTTCTCCAGAACGGGACGTCCGAACGGTCACGCCTTGCAAAATTTTCTGGGGAATTTTGTACTGAAGGGGCACAGCTAGGAGATGATTTTTTTACCCTCTTGCAAAGGCTTGGACTCTGATAACAATGGGGCAGTTACGGACGGACTTTCCTCCATTGGAGATTCCCCCTTTTATTTCACCTTTCTTTTCGAAGTGTGTAAGTCTCTGTGTGTCAGACGAAACCATTCCCACGTCCTTGAATCTGTGTATGTGCGTGTTCACACAGTTACGTTCCGTAAGCAGACACTTGGAGGTTTTTACCGAAGCAGCCGAATTAGGTTTTAATCCAGGGACATTTTAACACTACCTTGCTGCCCAAATGTACATTATAAAAATAATAATAATAACCGGGGGGGGGGAATAAAAAGCTGACTGGACTTTAGAAGCAAGTGCCTCGTTCTGGAATGGTTTGCACATAAGTTTGGCCATTTTGGGTTTTTCTTTGCCTTACGCCGAATCCGTGATCCTCCAGTCAAGCCATCAATTTGGCGCCCTATTTAAAAAGGGGTCGTCTTAGCCCTTAGCACTGCTTTTGGAAATCTAGAGAGACATGGGGGGGGGGAATCGTAGAGTTGGAAAGGTACCCTAAAGATTATTTCGCCCAACCCCCCCTGCAAAAATATACAGCTGTACCATGCGGGGATTCGAACCTGCAGCCTTGGCATCATCAGCACCAAGCTCTAGCTAGCTGATGCGGGTGGCGCTGTGGTCTAAACCACTGAGCCTCTTGGGCTTGCCGATCGGAAGGTCGGCGGTTCGAATCCCCGCGACGGGGTGAGCTCCCGTTGCTCTGTCCCGGCTCCTGCCAACCTAGCAGTTCAAAAGCACACTGGCGCAAGTAGATAAATAGGTACCACTGCGGCGGGAAGGTAAATGGCGTTTCCATGTGCTCTGGTTTCTGTCACGGTGTCCCGTTGCACCAGAAGTGGTTTAGTCCTGCTGGCCACATGACCCGGAAAGCTGTCTGCGGGCAAACGCCGGCTCCCTCGGCCTGAAAGCGAGATGAGCGCCGCAACCCCATATTTGCCTTTGACTGGACTTAACCGTCCAGGGGTCCTTTACTTAACCAGCTGAGCTATATCCATGCTGCGATGTGTGCAAGGATGTTTCTGGCCCCAGAGGACTTCCCGAATTTCCTTTCTGTGTTGGCTGCCGGAGCGCTAAATTCATACATTTTTAATTTTCCCAGTCTCGGAAACTCAACCCCGAAATGCTGATAAGCTGGGATTTTTTGCACTGCTTCGAACCGTGAGCCTTTAGATGCCAACACACTCTGGGGAGAGAAAAAACCCCACGCTATTTGTAGGGCTGTGACCTCTGTCGATGGGCCTTCTCTTCCCCCCAAAAAATAATAATCTGCATGGGTCATTTTTCAGTCTAGCGTCTCTTAAAAAGGGAGAGCTGTGTATCTCCCCCTCCGCCCGCAAATGAAAGAAATCAAAAACTGCTTCCTCCAGATATCGTTCCCCAGCCAGCCTAGGCTGATCCTAAAGAGTTAGCCCCAAAATACCTCTGCAAAAAAGCAATTTTGGCAATGCAACTTGAGTTCATCGCCTTCCCCTTGACCCTGCCCAAAGCGTTTGTAGCTAGCTAGGACCCCCCCTCCAAAAAAATACAACTTTCACGTCTCTAAAAAAGTGCGCAGCCGCCCCCAAACCATAACCCTCTAGCCTTTCCGCGCACCATCCGGGTGGTAGAGCTCCCATTGGCTGGAGGGAAAGGAAGCTGCTCCCCCTCTGGCGAAATAGTGTCATTACACTTCCTGTTTCCCTTCCCCTAGATGTGAAGTTCCTTTCGTATGTGACGCTGTAGCGGGTTTTTAATTTTCTTTTTTTTTTTTTAAGAAAGAAAATGTGTCTGTGTTTTTTTTTTTAATTATATATTTAAATGTTACTATTTTTTTGTATGGTGAGTGAGTGTAATCTTATCAATTCCCCCCCCCCTTGTGTGTTTCTGTTTTTTGGTTCAGGATTTTTTAAAAAAAATAAAGTCTATATAATAAAACAACGAAATAAGAGCCAAAAGCATTACAACATAACTCTCTTCTGTGTGCTTGAGTGTGTGTGTGTGTGTGTGTGTTGGAAGAATGTGGGAGGGGGGGAATACGTAGACCTGTTTTATCACCTCATTTAAGTTACCTGTATTAAAAAAAAAAGAAACTTTTAAAAATGGTTTAAAAATAATAAACACAAAATAAAGATTGCTTGAGCCACACTTTTTAGCCTAAATCACCTTATTTTATGTTCAAAAACGAGATGGAAGTTTGCAGGTTGCGGGGGCCAGGAGAAAACAACCCGAATTCGCCCGAGATTTGGGGGGGGATTGCAAAATTCGCAATTTTTTGCATCTGTCTTGAGCGCTTAAGGATGCGATCTTATATACATGTAACTTGAGTTAACCCCCTTTGACCTCACTGAGGCTATGTACACATTAGCAGCTTAAAATGCAAGGAAGTCGTTCCCCACTCTCCTCCCCCCCCCCGCCCGCCGCAAGTTGAATTTTCATATTTTATGGATGAGGGGTGGTTTGGGGGTGTCGTCACCCCACTTGAGCATTACCTGTTTGGTTTCCCTGTGCTAGCAAATCCTCTGAACCCCAATTAACTGAAACGGTCAACTGAGCATGTGCAAGAACTATCCTGGGTGTACACACCTCAGCTCAACTGGAGGAAGTTTTCAAATGGTTCTGTGTGTCGGGCATCAATCCTATGTAGACCTATCTGACAGCTGAAGTCCATGGGGCAGACCGCTGAGTGGATCTAATAATTATTTATTTTTGTTACATTTGTATGCTGACCTGCACAAATCCAGGAGGTTCGCAACATGACAGTACAAAAGCCACAAAACACATTGCAAAAATAACAACAAACCAATAAATCCGCCATCCCCTCCAAAAACACATTTAAGAGGCCTGGTAAAGAGGAATATTTTTGCCTGGTGCCTAAAGGTATATAATGAAGGTGCCAGGTGATTCTCCCTGGGGAGAAAATTTCACAGACGGGGAGCCACTGCAGAGAAGGCCCCGTTCTTGTGTTGCCACCCTCCAGCCCCTTTTGTGGAGGAGGCACATAAAGAAGGGCCTTTGGTGATGATTTCTGCATATTCCCAGGATGGGGGAATATGGTCAAACCTGAAGGAGCGTCTCCACCCCCATTGTTCAGCCTGGACACTTGAGGTCCAGCTCCAAGGGCCTTCTGGCAGTTCCCTCCCTGGGAGAAGTGAGGTTACGGGGAACCAGGCAGAGGGCCTTCTCAGTGGTGGCGCCCTCCCATCAGATGTCAACTATCTGAGGCAATCCCTCACAGCCGAGTAAGATTGTCTTCCATGAACACGGTTTTAACAGTGAGTCCGTAAGTGACTGTGGAGGACAATTCTGGATCCACACGTCCTTCCACAGTGGGGACAGAGGTTTCTGGGCGGGAGTTGATCCCGGTGAGGGTTTGCCAAGCGTGCCTTCCTCTTTGCACGTTTCTCCCTTGCGTCCTGAATTTGAGTGTCTTCAAAGCCCGCGACACCTTTGGTCAAGGCTGTTCTCCAACTGGAGCGCTCGCAGGCCAGTGTTTCCCAGTTGCCGGTGTTTATACTACATTTCTTTAGATTTGCCTTGAGAGAGTCTTTAAACCTCTTTTGTTGACCACCAGCATTACGCTTTCCATTCTTAAGTTCGGAATAGAGGAGTTGCTTTGGAAGACGATCATCAGGCATCCTCACAACATGGCCAGTCCAACGAAGCTGATGTTGAAGAATCATCACTTTTTTGTGTTGGTGTTTAGTCGTTTAGTCGTGTCCGAATCTTCGTGACCCCCTGGACCAGAGCATGCCAGGCACTCCTGTCTTCCACTGCCTCCCACAGTTTAGTCAAACTCATGCTGGTAGCTTCGAGAACACTGTCCAACCATCTCGTCCTCCGTCGTCCCCTTCTCCTTGTGCCCTCCATCTTTCCCAACATCAGGGTCTTTTCCAGGGAGTCTTCTCTTCTCATGAGGTGGCCAAAGTCTTGGAGCCTCAGCTTCAGGATCTGTCCTTCCAGTGAGCACTCAGGGCTGATTTCCTTCAGAATGGAGAGGTTGGATCTTCTTGCAGCCCATGGGACTCTCAAGAGTCTCCTCCAGCGCCAGAATTCAAAAGCATCCATTCTTTGGCGATCAGCCTTCTTTATGGTCCAGCTCTCACTTCCATACATCACTGCTGGGAAAACCAGAGCTTGAACTATACGGACCTTTGTCAGCAAGGTGATGTCTCTGCCATCTTGCCCCTATAAGCAACCCGGCTTCCAAATTCTGGCGCAGCTGGAGTTTCCAAACCATCTTCTGAGGCAGCCCTATGAATAACAGGTTGCAGCAATCTAACCTGGCTTTTTTGGGGGCCTCTGGACCAGCCGAAAATGTGAAACCTGCCAACTTTGCTGTTTCTCATGGGGCCCAAATGACTGTTTTCTTGAGATGTGTGGGCAGAGCCAAACCCTTGCATTTCCAGTAAGGCGAAGGAGAACGTGAGCTGGGGGAGTTGAACAC